GAGGACCACCATGCCGAAGTACCAGAACCAGTTTCCTGGAGAGAAACGGTTTCCAGCCTCAGGGTTCTCACGGTGGAATTCCATCCACCGATGGTGCCAATGCTTGATCGGCGTTCCCAGTGTCCAGCTGGCTCGGTACCTCTCCATGAGCAACTCCAGGAAACTTTGCTCCTCAAACAGCGTTGTGTAAAGCTGAACCAGCAACTGGTGCAGCTCCTCTCTTGCTGATGGCAGCTCGTTAAGTTCCACCAGAGGCTGCTGAGCATTTCCGGCCACGGCCATTGGCAAGTTGGGACAGTCAGACAAACAAGGACTGCAGTGGGGCCAAAATTGCTGAAGAAAACACAATGTCTAATATCCAGTGTAACAAGAATGCTCTTGTAAACTGTGTGGAACTAAAAGTCCAAAGCCCTAAGACGGCCCGCCTTCATTTCTTTCCAGAAGCAGCCCCTTTAGTGCATCCATGTCGAGTAGTAGGTGCATATTTCAGCACAAAGCACTCCTTTAACTTCAGCACTAAGCCTTAGTCACTAAGCACTCCTTCAAGCCACCCTCTACCCCCTGTCTCGGACCTCCAAATGTGCCAGTGCTCCACTGTTTCCAGGCATACCAGCGCACCATCATCATGTCCAGGGCCTAGCAGGCTTTGCAAGTCCAGGGTTTAGGGTTTAGGAGTTAGGTTTAACTCTTATTCAACTCTCCTAATCAACCTTCCTAGAGCCTTAACACTTTGAACCTTCCTAAAGGTTTAGGGCTTGGGCTCGGGCATCGGTTTGGGTATCCAAGCCTGGGCATCGATTTGTTTCGGGTTTCGTGGGTATCGGGTTTTGTGGGTTTGGGGTTTGGGTATCGGTTTGGGTATCGAAGCCTGCAGTTGTTTGTTTCGAGTTTCGTGGGTATCGGGTTTTGTGGGTTTGGGGTTTGGCCTTCTCAGGCTGCGCCGCGAGGCGCAATGCCTGGTTTCCTGGGTATCGGGTTTAGTGGGTTTGGGGTTTGGGCTTCTGAGGCTGCGCCGCGAGGCGCAAAGCCTGCAGTTTGTTTGGAGGGTTGTGGGTTTGGGGTTTAGTGTTGGGGGTACCCAAACGAGTCTCAGTCCGTACCCTACACTTCTGCGAGCAGCACACTTGGCCCCAGCTTTATGTAGTCGTGCCTAGTTCATGGTTTGCGTTCACGCTCTAGAGTTTAAGTTGTACGGTTCGGTGCAGTATGTTCAGCAGCCACAAGGAGTAGGCCGCCACAGTGCCGAAAGGCGCAGGGGCGATCGTACAAGAAATTGCAAACCCAGGGTGCAGTGTAGAAACCAGTTTGTGCATTCCATCGGATTTAAGGCTTAGGTGTAGTCAGTGTAGTCTTGCAGCAAAGCCCTGTGCCACCTCACCTCAGGCAAGACTGCAACCGTGATGAGCATACTGTTGCAGGAAGCTAATAATTACATAGGCTGTTCTTAACATAGCCCCCCCCCCAGCCAACCACTACAGCCACTAGCTCGCAATGTCGGGCCCATGGAATCCAGGTTGGAGTCAACACTGGAACCAACACTGGAATCAAGATTGCAGACAAGGTTGGAGTCAAGAGTCGACAGAGCCGGCTTCATCCCACAATGAGCCTCAGCTCACCCGCAGGCAAAGGGAGAACAAGCGAAAAAAGGAGACTCCATCCAACGAGGAAAGAAGGGACTTGCGGTGGGCCGTCAGCAAAAAGCTGACTGCCACCCAGGAGGAAACACTTTCGCTGCAAGACCAGCTGGCTGAAGTCACCCAGCAAAGGGATGCGCTGCAAACCCAGCTGGATGCAACTGCCGAGGAGAGAGACACACTGCAGAAGCAGTGCTCGGATCTGCAGGCCCAGGGGGACAAGCTGCAAACCCAGCTGGACGCAACCACCGAGCAAAGAGACACACTGCAAAAGCAGTGCTCGGATCAGCAGGCCGGGCAGGTTTAGGGTTTAGGTTTAGGGTTTAGGGTTTTGGGTTTTGGGTTCAGGGTTTGGGGTGCAACTCCTGTCCTAAACCTGAAACCGTACATGAAACCCTGTCCCTTGTTGTTGCCTCTGCTTGACCCTAACAGGTGCAACTTGAAGACCTGGAGCATCGGTGGGCGAAGTGCGTCGAAAGCAACAGGCTGGTCGAGGAGGAGCGCGACAGGCTCCTGAAGGACAACCAGGCCAGGTACGGTTCCATACTCCAAGTAACTAATCGGAAGCATAAATTGGATGCAATCTTCAGAAAACCCGAATCCAACTGATGTCAGGAGAAAGACCAGAAACTGAAGGAGGCAGAGGAGCTCATCTCTGAGCTTCAAATTTGTCAGGCCGGCAAGGCCAATTCAATGCAAAGTAAACCCTAAACCCTTGGCCCCACTCTTAAGGCCCGCAAGCCCCATGCAAAGTCTTCCATGCACAGTCTTCTCATTAGCCCTAAACCCTGAACCCTGAACCCTAAACCCTGGCCAGGAAAATGAAACGAGGCAAGCAGATCTGCTCAAGGATCAAATGGGACATTGGATCGTGGATGCGGCCAGAGCAGATGTGTACAAGGAGAGAATGGAAAAGGCTCTTTTGGAGGTGGCCAAGTACAAGGCAGGACTGTGGATGTGCACAGCCTAGGGTTCAGGGTTTAGGGTTTAGGGTCTAGAGGTGGCTTAGAGTCTGAGAGCCCTGACAGGAGAAAATCTCCGAGCTGGAGAAAGGGGCCTCGCAGAGTGAGGCGGATCTTCGAAGTGCTCAAGAGCCTGCCAGCACTGCAGAGGCGGACATGGAGTAAAGACCGGGTTTGGGGTTTAGGGTTCAGTGTTGAGGGGAGCACTCATACCAACACCAGTCATTTATTTGTTCCAGGCAGAGAAGACCGTGTCTCATGTGGCTTGGGAAGCACTTCATGTTCATTTCCCTATTATATACATCTTAAAAGTTAAAACCTGGAAGACTTGAACCCTAAACCCCAGAAACCTCTTCACATCCAAGGATGAGTCAACAGCTGGAGAGGGGCAGCCGACTACTGTACGCCCGGCTGGAACTTTGCAGCAGGAGTCCAAGGCAGTGAAGAAGGGTACTCTGTTGTAGCTGCCCCTGTGCCCTCTCCTGTAACTGTTTCTATTTTTTTGAAGGCGGTTAAAATTAAGCGAGTCAGAAGCTGTGTGCAAAGGCGGTCTCCTCACTGGCAAAAGTCAAAGAAGAGCCCTCACTGGAAAAAGTCAAAGAAGAGCCCATGTCGGACGACGACATGCCAATGTGGGTGGAACACGAGATTGCGGAGCAGATCAAAGCCGACCTGTTGGAGGTGATCGATAGTGGGTGGGCCTACGACCGGTTCCACATGCAGCTGTATCCGAGGCCGGTGCGAGCTGCAAATGGCACTCCTGAAACTTGGAATGACCACGAAGGCCGGTTTGTCAATGCCAAGCTGGCGCAGCGCTGGCAAAAGTGGTCGTACTGCCCGGAGCCGGAACGTGTTTTGGCATCCTTCTTGGCAAGCCGGCCTGGGCTCCTCAGACTGGATGAGGAGTTGATGGGCCCGTCGACCCACCTTCTAGGCTTTTTGCGGGTGACGCTTCCGCCACAAGGGCAGCCGCTGCCTGGAGCCAACACCGACGAGACCGGTGTGGCCTTCCACGGCACACACCCGTATTGCCTCCGCAGGATCCTGCTGGAAGGTCTGCAGCCCTCCACTGCTGAAAGATCAGGCTCGCGTTATTTTTCTGGAGATGATGGTGAGTTTGAGGGCTTGTACGCCCACCACATGAACCGAGCGTCAAAGGCCCTGAACTACGCTCCGTTCTACTCGTTCATGTTCTTGGATGTCGGACCTGAGGTCAAGTGGTGTCCCTATGCCCTGAGGACAGTGGTCGAGATCCAGTATGTCGTCGCGAACTCCAGGCCAAACAAGAAGTCAGATCAGTTGCTTAGGAGCCCATGAGGTGAACTTTAAACTTTTGGATATACAAAGCCCCTACTAAAAGAAAAGTTTAAACTTTTTTGGGCCAGGGTATTGGGCAACTAAGGTTGATCCTGAAACCAGGATGTTACAAGGTCGTCGCCCTGCTTGTCCAGACAAAGGCCCCGAGCCAAATGCAGCTCGGGGAATGGATTGGCCCGTACAAAGCAAAGGAGGAGGCTGCAGCGCCGCCGGAGAGGTGAAAAAGTTTCCCATTCTGGAAACCTGATGATAAGATTGCCTGAGTTAGTGTACTTTGTGGTTTGTTTTTTTGGGCATTTATGTCGTCCCTCAGGAACCAATTCCATAATCTTGGGAACTTTTTCCGAGATCTTGGGACATGTGTAAATTTGTTCAGGTTTGGGGTTTGGACTTTGTTCGGAGTTTGGACTTCTCAGGCTGCGCCCCTCGGCTCAAAGCCTGCAATTTATTCGGAGGGTTCGGAGGCTGCACCTTTCAGTGTTTCTGTATGGGGACATACTTGAATAGGAACTGTTTGCAGTTCTAAGGAACCTTGCCTTTCAGGCTGCACCTTTCGGCGCAAGCCGTTTGTTTCTGTGTGGAGAAGACAGGTGAGTAGGAACTGGTTTGCAATTATACTATCTTGCAAATCACCTGTCAGAATTCCTGGAACTAGAAAGCATCATCCCCCCAAACCGTTCCAAACAGAATCACTAATCTCCAGCCAAACAAGAATGCTCTTGTAAACGGTGTGGAACTAAAAGTCCAAAGCCCTAAAACGGCCCTCCTTCATTGCTTTCCAAAAGCAAGTGGCTCTGCTGGTCTTTCCAGCCTCGATACCCAGAAAGCCCTCCCAACCATCCACAAGCTTTGTCCCTAACGAACAACTGCAGGCTTTGTTGGACTGCGAGGAGGAGGTGCAATGCCGCGAGGAGGCGCAGTACCGCCAAGGGCCGCTATGTGCAAGTAAGCTTTGGTGGAGGAAAAACGGTTAAGAAGCAAGAGCTTACTTTTACCAGGGGTTGCCTATAACACAGAGGTCAACAATTTGACTAAAGCTTACTTGTTGACTTTGCCTGCTTTGCCTGCTTCAGGAGCACAAAACTAATCATTCATCCTCTGCATCCTCATCATCCTCATTGTCCGCTGGCAGTTGTGCTCCCGATTCTGCTCGCACTCGTATCGGTCGAACTTCGGCTGGCATCTCTCTTGCAGGAACAGGAGGGCCGCCATCATCATCAACGAACCTGAGAGACAAAGAGTGTAGGGTTTAGGGTTTAGGGTTTAGGGACAATATCAGCCTAAGGCTTCTAAGGGTGAAGTGGGCTGTGTCCGGGTCACTGGTTGTCGATCCTTTGTTCAACTAAGCAGCCTGTGGTTCAAGAACTCGTACTGGGCAGGTCTTGGATGCCGTCTGAGTGTGCCTTTGACCCAGCTGACCAAGAATTCACAAGCAGCATCCTCAGCATGAGTTGGAATCAGGATCCATTGAAGTCTAGGGCCAACGTCTTATGGTAACAATGCTGGTTCACTATAGTTTGCAGCAAAGTTTCGCTGATGCAACCTTCCCTGTGAGCCTGCTGGGCCTTGGCTATGACCTTCTCTTTGTCTTTGATGTTCTTGCGCGGGTAAATTCCTTGAGGTTGTCGTGAAAGTCTAGCTTTCATCGCCGGCACTTGTGCTCCAGGGAGTAGCAGGCACACCTGAAAGTATCGACGAGAAGCCATCCTTTGTCTTACAACGAGGACGATGTCCTCAGGGTGGGAAGCTGGGGCCCCTGGCCATGCTGTCACAGGCACTTGCAGGTACCCCAGTGCTCTGAGAGTTGTGATCTCAAACCTGGGCTACAAAGTTTCTTCAAATTTTCACACCAGGATCTGCCTATACCAAGCCAACCTCTCACACAGAAAAGAAAGCTCTCACTTGCAGTAGCAGCAGCGAGTGTGGCGCTTGCGGTCCTGTTAGGTTTGCAAAAACCAAGCCAAGCTCTTCCCACCAGCTCTTCCAGTCGGCTTGTTGGTCGCCTTGCTGTTGCTTGGTAACCACTCGGAATTAAAGTTGATAGTTTCCAACCCCCCCTCCCCCCTTCCCCCCACCAGCCCCTCTCCAGGCAAAACTCTGGATCCTCAAACCATGGCCGAAATACCACAAAGACTCTTACATAACCATGGCCGAAATGCCTTTCCAAGCACCTCGGAAAGATGCACCACCATCCACCTTGGAATCCTGAAGGAATCCAGTGTACAGGGACACCAGCTCATCTGGTGTGCTAAACTCGCTGTTGGAGCACTTGACAACTGCCTGCCCGCCTAGGGCATCCAGCGGCCCATGGGTATGCCCTTTTTCAGGGTACAGCAGGGAGATCTTGTCGAGAACCCCGAGGACTTTGAGTTTGATGCACCAGGAAAGCAACAACCCATTTTTACAATCTCGAGAACAGTTGTCCTGCAAGATGGCCACGTGGTGAGGAAGGGAAGAGTTGCAACTCCTGTAGACGATGTCCAATACCCGAGCCATCCCTTCAACGTTCGAGTTGGTGTTCTTGAAGTTGTCTGGGTCCTTTATGTCAAAGGCCAGGGCGTGGCCTTGGGCCCACAGCATCATCACCGACAGGCTCGGTCTCAGCAAAGCGTCGAAGGCATGTGTCTTAGTCAGTACCCTGGGACACTTGTGTTTAGCCTGGTCCAGGGCATCGGCCCGGAGCAGCAGAACGCTGAGGGATTCCTGGATGTCCCTCATCCTGACTCCCATTCCTTGCACAAAACAAATACCCAAAACCATATGGCCATTTTGCAGGACACCTGCCCTAGCGCCTGTAAAAAGAATTACTTTCCTGGGGCATCAAGCTAAAAATCCTCAGAGTTCTTGACAGGGTCTCTGTGTAAGCTGATCGGGGTCAACAGAAAAGTGAATGCTAAACTTGCCGAAGAACGCAAAGTTGTCCTCAGCTGAACGCTGAGAGCTGCCCACCGAAGGTCTGCCTCGCGATCCTGCCATTGAAGCATCAGGTGTCTGATGTACTCATCCAAGGTCCTTGCTCAGGGCTGGATACTTATCCCCACAGAGAGGTCGCAATTCTCTTCGGGTCTCGTTTGTGCCCAGGGGCTGGGCTCTCTGAGCAGCAGTGAGATGCTGCCGGAGTTGCTGTTTGAAGCTCCTTAAGTCACTCTGTTTCTGTGCCCCATGCACCTACATGGACTGGACTGCCCACAAAACTGCTGAGTCTAGGCCAAGCAGCCAGCAAGTGTCGCAAACGGGATGCTCTCCAGCATTCTTGCGGAACTTGAGCCACCCGCGGCACTCTCGGACTGCCCGGCAGAAAGTGCTGAAGGACGGTACAGGGTGACTGTTCTCTTTGGCCCATTGCTGGAGCCATAGGAACATCATAGCAGGTCGAGCCACACCCAGATACCGCCTGGGACCTGGTCCGACACCTGGACCGCCTAGCACCTTCTCAGGTGCTTCAAGGAGCGAGCAGCATTGCAGAGAGCATGATGCCACTGTGCGAGCTTCAGCATCTTCTGCAGCATCTACGTCAGACGAAGATGACGATCCGCTTCTTGCTTCCAACTGCCGCCGCCTCCATTGGTGTTTGGGGTTTGGGGCTTAGAAAACCCTGCTTCTTCTACACAAACTCTGAACTTGCGATCATGATTGAGAAGCAAACACATCGAAAAAGTGCTTGACCAAACAAGGATCGAGTCGACGATCTTGGTCTTGTGTGCGCCGGAAGAACTTGTCTCGAATCGGAACTTGTCTGGCATGCCTTCAGCATCGTACTGATAACGATGCCACAGAAATAGCTTGCAAACCCGCAGCATCGGACTGTTCGCCGGGTTCTTTGATCTCATGGAGTTGGCCTCGGCACGCCTGTCTGGCACCCCTTGTAACACCTTTGTTCTTCAATGCGCATGGCTGAATAAACATCAATGCAGTGAAACAATGATAAAAGTTGCACAAATTGCTTGCCCAAACACTCGGTGCACGCGACCATAGCCAACCTTGACAGTGAACTCTGAACAAAACAACCCGCAAGGGAAAGTGAAGCAAAGAAAGCACAAAAAGAACTGCCAATTGCGAAGAAGATGCACAAAGGAAAGCCAGAGCGCTCTTGAAACAAACTCTGAGACTGGCAGGGACGATGCCTTCCAACTGTACAGAAGGCTTTTTGGTGCAAACCCTTCTTTTGTACTGCTTCCTTCTCTGGGGAGCAGAAGGTCCAGGCTTGCTCTCCTCGGCTGAGAACACATCAGATCCCTCCGACTCCGGCTGGGAAGTTGATGTGGACTCATCATCAGCCTTAGCATCGTCCTCATAGTCTGGCTCAGAAGTACTTTGTTCAGACTTTTCTGATGGCTCGCTGGTGGCCTGAGAGCTCCCAGATTCATGAGGAGCCCGGCTTGTCGATGAACTGGCCTTCCGCCTCTTAGGCTTTCCAAAAATCATACAGGACGGGGCTTTTCTCTTCTTTACCTGTTTCTCTTTGGACTCCGACTCGTAGCTCAAGGATCGGCTAAAAACCCAGAGGATGTCCCGGTCTGCTACAGCCCGATCAAGCCGATGAAGCTGGCTGGAATACACTTGCAGCTCATTCATGTAAGGGGCCACGTTCAGGTAGCAACCTTTCCAAACTGCAGTGGGCCAGAGGTCTGGGGGGAGGAGGACATGGGTTTAGGGTTTGGGGTTGAGAGTTTACATGTCTAAACCGATCCGGAAAAGAATGGAATAAAGCTGTTTTTCCCCTGCAAGAGACGATTCTTGCAGTGTAGACATCCTCTGTCCAGTTTACGGCATCTCTGCAAGGATGCAGAGAACTTCAGTGCAAAGTCCATGGCGGGTTCGGCACAGCTTGAAAGGTTTTAAGAGTTGAAGGGTTTCAGGGCTAACTTGTTAAAGTGTTTAGGGGTTAAAGGGCTAAAGGGTTCTGGGGGTTAAAAGGGCTAAAGGGTTTGCTGGTTGAAGGGTTGAAGAGCTGAAGGGCTGAAGGGCTGAAGGGTTGAAGGGTTGAAGGGTCTAAGGGTCTAAGGGTCTAAGGGTTTAAGGGTCTAGGGTTTGGCAGAAGCAGCTTCGTCAAGCAACTCAAGACTTGCCGCTCAAAACCCAACCCGGCAATACAACTCTTTAAGAAAAGGAGAGGGACGAGGCAAGAACAGGTTTTGCCCGGAGCAGCTGGTATCTGTGCAACTAGTCCAGAACATGTATGAGAATGCAAAGCAGGATACAGGCTGCGACATTCATTGTGAAGGCATTGCCTGCCAGCTCTTGTGCTCGGGCAGTGCTCAAGTCTGTCAGGCCCGCAGCTTTCAGCTCAAGGGCTGACAAGCCTTGCAGGCTCATGACAAAAGTAGGCGATCTGTTCAGATGCACCCCTTCCTTGTCCAAGTACAAAAACCGCTTCTGTGGAAGTAGGCATGGATGAAAGCTCCTCCACTTGTGTCTTGTCAAAGAGTCTCCAGAGGGGATGACATGCCTGGAGCACACACGAAATTGAAATTGAAAAATAAACATTGTGCCTGTTCCAAGCCAGATAATGCAGAGCAGGACACAGCTTGGAGGTGTCGATGTCCTGGGGTCGAATGAGACATGGACTGAGTGAGAACCAACATGTTGGTTGACCCGCTGTGCAGTCCCGGCTGCTCGCCCCAGTCTCTTGCGCAAGCAGGCAAAAGACAGCAAAGTCGCTTCCAGCTCTCTCTTTGGCAGGTCCAATTTCTGCAGGCCTTGCACTGGAGCAATGCTTCCACAAATTGTGGTCAAACTGAAGAACCCAGCGCAGCGGACAGTGCTGAGGCCAGAACATTCAAGGACCCATCTTACCTGTGGAACCTGCAAATCGACCTCCGAGATGTCATTCTTCTTCTTGTACTCGGCATGATCCTTCGGCCACTTCTGGCAGGACGCTGCTCTGCCTGCAGCAGCCTTTCGCTTCGCAGGCTCCTTGGCTGTGGTGAGTCCAGATTGAGACATGTGCTAGTGGCAGGCTTCTGCTCTGGTGTAGCCAGGCTGCTTGCTGATCTGTGCTTCTCTGCCACAAAGCAACCAAAGGCTCCCGCCATTTCACTTGGCATCGCCTCATCAGCTGCCAAGCCAAAAAGACCTTGTGGCTGGCTTCCTTTTCAGCCTCCAGTCCCTCAGGCGCGAAGATTTCATTTGAACTTCACTGCACAAAAAGAGGGCCTCAATTTCTGTAAGCTGCAGCCAAAGGCACAAGACCTGGTTGAACTTTCAGGCTTATTCCATAGATTCTGTTTCTGCTCTGCGGCAGGGCGAAGTTGTAGGTGTTCACAACCTTCAGCAATTGTGTGGAATCGATCTGAACCGCTTCCATCAATCCTGAATGCGTCTCACAACCAAACAACCCCGAATCCCAAAGCAGCAAAGTTGCCTGGAAGCATGAAACGTAGCCTTGCTTTCGCATCAGGTCATCTATCACAGATGTACCTTTTTCATCCAAGCTTTGCCTGTGAGCATCCAAATTTTTGACGCACTCCCACATGATGGCCACCGGCTTCTTCGACCACTCCAGGCCCTTGATGAAGTTGTGGAACTCAAGGAAACTGCTCCCACTGTGTCCGCTAGCATCCACAATGCTCTTCGGGGTTCTGGTCTGGTTCGACACATCGTCACATTCCACACCAATGATAGCCAGGGATAGTGATGGCAGGGCTGCTGCCGGCACCGATCCCAGTTCTGAGGTGGGTCCATACACAGGCACTTTACCCAAATTGTGCCCCTGAGCTGCCAGCATCTTTTGCAACACCTCTCGCTTCCACTTGACATGTTCAGTGTAAAAACATGGTGTAACCTCCAGTGATATGTCATGGTCTTGCCGCAAGACTCTTTGCCACATCGCCTCAGGCAAAACTGGCATATCCAGCTACTGCTGCAGGCAAACAACATGAGTCAGTGCACTATCCCAGACAAGGAGCCAGCGACTGCGAACCGGTGCCCATGCCGGCACAGAATTCTGCAAACTTCACTTCATTCGCTGTGATTTTTTTCAGCTCTGCACTGGAAAGCACATTGTTCAGGAGGTAGCTTGCAAAATCGGTGCAAGATGAGCTTCTCAACCCGGGATTCTGCTGAGCATCATCTTCATGGTCCGAGCTGACTTGGTCTGCATGGTTTGCTTTTCGCTTCTTCTTGCCTTGCTTCTGCGCCCAGTCCTTTTCTGCTTGCTGTATGCGACGAGTTTCCGGACTGGCCGGAGCTTCTGATGTCTCTTGAGATTCTTCTTCAGAATGTCCTTGCTTTATTGACTTTATTGTCAGGAACACAAATATGAATAACATAGCTATGGCAAAGTCCTGTCTCAGTCGACTTCGGCTGGGGAGGTTCTCCAGAAGGTTCTGACGTCGACTCATCACTCATCGACATTGCAAAGCAATGCCACAATCTGTGCAGGATGAGGTTCTGAACCCGGCATTGCACTGAGTAAGCTCTTCATGAACTCCAATGGTCTGCATGGCTTTTCTTGTCTTGCTTCTGTGCCCAGTCCTGCTCTGCTTCTGTGCCTAGTCCTGCACTGCTCGCTGCATGCTTCAGCCAAAATTAAAGACTGCTCTGCAACAACGTTGCGCCAAAGATGTATAACCGAAGGCAAGCTCGGGCTCCGACTGGTGCTTCACTTCAGCTCCAAATCTGTACCTGGAGGATTCTCAAAACACTTCAACCCTGAACCCTTAAAGCGGCTCTGTGTTGCCAAGCACATGCACTGCCCTGGCTAGTTTTGCTCACAACAGTGGAGCCGA